TTTTTGACAGTTTTGACAGACAGAGATATTTTAGTTTTTCTAGTGCAAATCGAATTTTTGTTTTACTAAAAAAAAACTATTTAAATACTTCATATTAAGTTAACTAGGCATTCCTTGGCCTATAAAAAAAGTCAAATTTTCTAGTTTAAAAATGGCGGATCGCGTCGAGAACTGGACAAATCGGGCGCGAGAATTGTGGATGGAGGCTGAAGAGCATAAGAAACACTTGCTCATACTTCAAGTCACCTCGTTGGCCTACATGTTCATCTTTTTCGGTGTGCAGACGCACGAAACGGTAATTGAGTGTGGCCATGTCGCTGCTAATTTTAAAGTCAAATGCCTCATTTTTCTATGATAAAGCGGCCTCAATAACTTTTTTTCAGTGTTCGATGAGCTGCGCAACGAGGACTCTGATTCTCCTCTTGCATTTGGTGATTTGGGGCAGCGCGATTCTTGGTTTGTTATATTCAAGCTGTCCGTGCTTCCTCATTTTTTTCCAAAAACTCGGTTTTATCGGTATGTAATGGCATTTTCCGCCACATGGTCACCAATCGTCATTTTCCGACAGTTTTTACACCTTAAAGCAACCGGTTTTTTAGCTTTTTGCTTCAATAAATAGATGCATGACGACTTTGTTTCAGCGTTGACGTGCCTCTTTGCTCTCCGCGCCGAGGATCGAGCCAAAGTCCGGGCGGCGTCTTACGATGTTATATCAAGTAATAATTGAGCGTTTAGCCGATTAAAACACGCAGCAAAAGTTTTAGTTTGCCTTTTGTTAACTCAACCTCAGGCAGCCTTTAGCTTTGTTCTCAATTGAAGACAAGATTTATTAGCTTTTGATTAAGACAAAAATAACAAGTTTTCAGCTTTAAATGCCGTTTTCTAAATTTTAGGATCCGTCAACCAGTGGCGTAAGTACGGTCTGAAGGTTGGAATGGTCATCGCCACACTCATCTCCATCGATTGCTTGATGAAATATAGAGATGGCTACTACCATACAAAACAATAAATTACGAAACGCAAATCAAAACGCTAAATGTTCAGTGTATCTCGATGAAAAGACTTTTTTTTCGAATAATACCTAACATGTAAAGTAAGGGACAAATATTTAACACTCTCGTTTTTCGAAAATTGATTTGATTTTGAGGGTCAAAATTGCGAATAACCTTTTACCTAAAATACGGTGGAAAATAACTTTTTCCTGTGACGTTATCGAGGTGCATCACGATGATTCGTAATCTCCGATGACAATTTGGCGAGAATGAGCGTTTCCGGATTTCTACGGCGTGGTTAGATAGGACTCCCGGAAATCCGGCAGGTAGGCTTGAATGGCCCGTTAAACGCGATTTTCGGCCGATTCCAATCGCGGATCCAGAATCTACAGGGTCGCTTACATTAGGAATGATTTGTTTCCAATGTGAAGAAATCAAACTTATTTTCTAGAATCATTTGTAGAAAGCACGACCGCGAAAAAGAGGGCTCGAAACAGGTTACAAACAACGCACAAAATGCTTTAGAGCGGATCTAGAGATACGGAAGGTAAAATGAAAAATATGATAACAGTTTCGAGTACGCCAGAATCCGATGTTGCGCTCATTTTCGCTCCCTGATTTGACAATGCATCTTGTGGAAGGTAATGAGGATTTATTTCACATTGTTTCAAAAGATCGACCCGGTAATGTAGGTAGTGTTGATATGAAGGGTGAGCAGAGCGAAGAAGGCAGCAATTCCGATTGCTGTGATGAAAGGGTGGGATGAGATGAGATCGACAAGGGTCGAAACTACAATCCCGGCAGCGATCGATAGCTTCTTCAAATCCTCTTGGTGAAACGTCAAGCAGAGCCATATGAGCGCTGAAGAGATATGCTGTTCTTTTTCTCGTCACCGTCTCTCTCTCCCTCTCTCTCTCTCTCTCCCTCTCTCTCTCTATCTCTCTGTCTCTCTTTCTCCTCTATATCTTTAACTCAAAACCTACGGGCCATGTAGATGAAACCTCCCGTAACTAGTAGCACTTGTAGGATGAGCGACGGGCATGGGACGGGCCTCTGGAATAGCCGGAGATATGGATGAAGAGCTAGCCGACATTTGCGCAGCCGAATCTCAATACCCCGAGATCCAAAATACCGAACGCCCGAAACACCGAAAGCCAGAATACCGAAAACTATAATACCCAAATCCATGATAGCGAAAACGTAATACCGAAAACGATAGTACCGAAAATAATTTTCAATTTAGCGAAAATGAATATGCGAAATTTAATTTGTCAAAAGGCAACATAACGCTGTAAAAATATCCCTTTCGAAAAAAGTTGGACTCGAAATATGGCTAAATTTGACAAACAAAAATTTATATGGATTTCGGTATTCTAGATTACGGTATTATGGATTTCGATGTTTCGGGCGTTCGGTATTTTGGATTTCTGTGTATTGCAAACCGGAATTTTGTGATTCGGTGTTATGGATTTCGACATAATGAAAAAAGACCGCCGCCAAACACCAGAACCCCAGGACCGACACGCGTACCTCTCTGGGGTATCTTCTCCAGCGCAGGATCTGTGCTTCGTCGGGGACCATCTGAAATCACTGGACTTGTCATTACACAGGAGAGAGGGAGAGAGAGAGAGAGAGAGAGAGAGAGAGAGAGAGAGAGAGTGAGAGATCTATAACTCAAAGCTCACTTACATCGTGACAGTCGAAGGGCCAATATATGGCGATGGCGAACAGCCAGACGGCGTTTACCGCGTAAAAGGTATGTCTAGGCTCCCATGCCATTACTTTATCGAAAAGCTAAAGTCGGGTAGAGTAGGAACCTGAAAAAGGAGACCGCGCTTGAATTTTTGAATTTACCTCCATGGCCTCTCGATCGCGATCTTGCCCCGCGGCTATTCTACTAGTGTAAACGGGGTCAATGTTAGTTTGGGCCCTCCCACTCTCACACGCTCTCTAGCTAACCCACAACCCGGGGTGACGACACCGCCGCTCCCCTCTTCAGCCGCCTCTCCCCCTCGCATCCCGCTGTGGGCGTGGCCGAGTGGTTAGCACTCCAGGAACCGAATTACAGCTCTGAAGGTTCGGATCCTCTCAGCGACAAGGTTTTTGCTTTTTGCCAGAAACGCTCTGTACCCGCCATCCCTGCTCTCCACAGCGTTGTCCCAAGGAATTACGGCCGATCCAATAAGGAACACTCGAATTGTGATCCATACCCCAGCCGTGGACCGAGATGTTGTGGCCGATTTCCTCGTCGGTTTCCTCCCGAAAGATACTTTTTAGGGTTTTTGACGCGTCTCCTTCTCGACTGACTCTTTCTCTCCATCTCTCCCTCCTCTCTCTCTCTCTCTCTCTAACCTTGTAAATGCCTCCCGCATAATCCTCAAGCTTCTTGTGGCAGCAATTCCGCAAGCGTTCGGTTCCTGTTTGTGGATCTCCGCCGGATTGATAACTCGAAAGAATCGATAGACTACAGTAGTCTTACCATATTTTAGAAAAAGACTATTACAAAGGCTCAAATTCACGAAATGTTTTTGCATTTATGAAGAACTTTGGGGGCAGGACGGAATCGTTGCTTTTCCCACGCAAAGGGGTTTTAACAAAAACCTCATTTTCTAATTTTCGCACCTTTCCTGGCAGCCTTTTTGAAAGCCATTTGAGGAAACACGGCTTGAGTGGGGCTGAGGCCGATTAAATTGAGTTTTTGAAGAAAAATATGTAAATTTTGTATAAAAATGATGTAGATAGAGCTAAAACACCCTGTATTTTGTAAGTGTGAACGGTTATCACATCCCTTTATTCATTTAGTTAGCAGTCTTCTCATCCTCCTCAATCCGTTTCTGGAAATTCTGCATCTGGTAGTTGGAGATGCGCCGAATCGCGTCGAAGCCGGTTAAAAGCTGAAATCTTCGTTTTGGTTTTTACAGTTGAAAGCAAAAATCAAGTTAGATTGAGCTCTTTAGCTTCAAATAAATGCTTACCTCGCCTACCAGAAACACAAGGTGTATAGAATAAATGGCGCGCTCAATGGGCAACGGCCTCGTGTCCGGGTCCAGGAGCAAGAACAGGATTAGCGGAAGCTGCACCAGCAACGAGCTGATCCAAAAGCCGGAAAGGGCCGGAATCTGAAACGATTTTAACTTATCACACCCGAAATACCTTCTCCCCGAGATTCCCGTAATAGCCAAGCAGCAGCCGTACACATTCGACGGTGCAGTAGACGATCAAAACCGACACGAGCAGTACCTGATATGTCACCGAGAGCAGGGAGTACTAAAAATGAAATTATGGTTTTTTGTCGTATTTTTTCTTAGAATCCAATTATTCAGATATAAATAGCGCAAGAGTTTATAAATTATTTTTACTATTCCGAGGCGTAAAAGATTTACGCATTTTTTATAAAAATAAAAAATATCGATTTTCGACCAAAAAGGGCCGTTTCTGACCAATAATTCGACTTTTTAAATTGCTTTGATTGTTTTACATAGTTTTCCTAGCTTTATTAGTTATCTTGTACTAAAACACTATTGAAAGACTTCCTATGAAGCTACTAAGCAATTCTAGCCTTATACCAAAAAAATCCCCCCCGATAATGCGAAAGAACCGAAAGCATTAATGTTTATTAGAAACTATTTACCTTTAAAAGCAGGCAAGAGACGCTATAGATGAGTAGAATCGGCGCGAAATACACGTTGAAATGGAAAAAGGCTTGCAGGGGGAGACTCGTCAGCACTTCTAAATCGAGAATTTAGTACAACGAAGCATACTTACCATTTTTAGGGCCATTCTGAAGGGAGGTAATGATGTTTTGTTTATCATTATCCATTCCTAAAAAGAATATAACTAAGAATATAGCTTTTCGCTTAGCAGAGACCAATTGCCACCGGCCCGGTTACCGTGGCAACGCCCCGGGGCTGCAAGGCAATTTGCATACAGCGCGTGTTTTCCGGGACAACATTTCCATCTTTTGCTAGTCTAAAACAAGATAAACGATTGCTATGCGCCTTCGCAACGATGGGCGACCACAAGCATGGTGCCCAGAAGAGCACCGAGCGGTCGTAAGTTTCATTTTTGGCCACCACCCGATTCCTTGGATTACAGCCGAAAATCGGAGCGGAAGGTGCATGTGCCGGCCCGGGGCTTCCTCGAATCGTTGTTTGGGTAAGCTGCTGTTTCAACCGGAACTAGACGACCCTGTTTTCCAGAATGTCAAGGGAGCAGCGGAGCCGCCGTAATCAGCGCAGCAGCCAGCGCAGCACAAAACGCGGCGGCAAGAAGAAGTCGGAAGAGGTGGTGCGCTAAAATTCAACGCATGAATTTTTGCTAGAAAATTGACGTTGCTGGAATGGAGCCGCAAGAGCGCTCGACCACGCCAGACTCGAGCCGAGCCAGGAAGGAGAAGGACAAAACGCACGAGGCCACGCTGGATGAGCATGAGAAGGAGGAGCACCCGAAGCACGACGAGAAGCCGAAGAACGAGGAAAAGCCGAAGCACGACGACAAGAAGGAACAGCATGAGGAGAAGGAAGAAAAGAAGCCCGCCATTCAACCGCGTCATAAGAACTCGGTGGGATCTAAAAATCCGGGATCCTTTGGCGTTACCGGGGGGGGAGGGGGCTTTTTCCTAAGGATGGAATTTTTCTAATATAAAGAAACGAAGTGTTTCTAAGACGTGTTTTTACTATTCCTAAATGTAAAAACCTACAAATTTTCATTTAAAAATGCCAAAAAGTATAGAGTTTCTATAAAAATTTCCAATTTTCAACCAAAATTTCAATTAAAAATTTCTAATTTTTTCGGTTGTTTTTCCACTTGAAATATAGTTCAAATTTGCTGACAAAAAAACTATTAAAATACTCACTGTCAAGTTGCTAGCTATTTCTAGAGATAGAAACCCCCCCCCCCGATAATGCAGAAAGAACCCAAAAACATAGATGGAAAAAACTTACTTCGACAACGAAGCATTTGCCACCCCGGCGCTAGCGATGGCAAAGAGGCCGAGCAAGATTGACGAACAGATGAAGGCGTTGGGTAAGTGTGCCAAAAAGCGCCAATTTTGGGTCTGAATTTTAGAGGAGAAGCACCGCGCTGAAGAGGAGAAACACCGCGCCGAAGAGGAGAAACACCGTGCCGAAGAGGAGGCCCGCAAACCGCAGAAGTCCAAGAAAAGGCGGCCATCCCGCGAGGCTTCACGCGAGGCGACCAGGACCACCTCGAAGGAGGCCACCGCCGAGGACGACGGCAAGAACGAGGGCACCCCTCGACGTACGGGTTTTAGACCGGAAATCCCTAGCGGCTTCTGGCACTGGGTCGTTAGCGGGGGTGGGGTTTCGGGGGCCTAACTTTCGCATACCTTAAAGGGATAATAGACGGCATGTTCTCCCCCCCGCTAACAGTCCAGGGTACCAAGTAGGATAAGCGGCGGGGGAATTAGGCGGGGAAACCAACTTTTCCTGGTCGGCCCTGTGGGGAAGTAATCAAATATAAAGTGTTTTCACATTGTTTTTAGCAAAATTAAGCCTATTTGAACCGAAAAATTTTTAAAAAGTTAGAAAACGCTTGAAAAGTCGAAAATTTGGTCATTTTTGGGCCGAAAAAGTGATTTTTAGACCTAAAATTAATTTTAATTAAGTTTTGTAAGTTTTTATGTTTAGGAATAGCTATAAACAATTTAGAAACACTTCCATTATTTATATAAAAAATAGGCTTGCGGAAAAAGTTCGGTTCCCCCCGCCTAAAATTTCCCCCGCTTATCCTACTTTACCCAGTCCAGAACCGGAAATTCCGCTTCCAAGACTTCCAAAATTTCCCGACCTTCATTTACGAATCGCTTTTTAGGTTATAAACTTATTTTTATAATTTCTAAATAGTTTGTGTAGCTTTTTACTAATGAAAAGGCCTAAATACACTACAAACAAAAAAATTCCTAGATACGCAAAAGCTAAATCCCCCCGGTAATGCTCGAGTACCGCGAGTTCTTTTAGGCGAAGCGCTGCACGCAGGGAAGAAGTAGGCCGCCCCGGATTGCCCGACGTCTCCACGCCCGATACCCCCCACTTACAAAACATTACCATTGCTGAAATGATCTTTAATCCGAAAAACGTTGCTCACGATGGGAAAGCATGTGCTTATCGCGACAGTTTATCACGTCGCTGTGTCTCGAATAAAAGCATTTAAACGTAACAACAACCAAGCAACAGAAAACATGAGAACAGACAACAAACAGAACAGGACCCGAACATGGAAATTTGCGGAAAGACGATGGGAGAATGGGATGAGATTTTTCCGCTATGCGTAGACCCGGAATGTCATAGCGGCAATGGTGCGCAGGAGGCGGACGGTACGGCGGCTCCGTTCGGCGATCATCACCTCCGGCGAGTTGGCCATGTTCAGTGAGGCTTGTCCGGAGGCCAATACCTAAAGCGGATTTGCTAATCAACGTAATTACGCGAAGTACCGGTAATAAACGTCGAAATACTATGGATTGCTAATTTTTTAAATATAGCTAGCGAAAGCGTCTCTTAAATGAGGTTTTTTACATAATGTCGTAAAATCGCGAAAACTATACAAAATCTTAAGAAAAAAATGTCAAAAGTATAGATTCTTCGACCAAACATGGCCGCTTTTTTACCAAAATTCGAATTTAAAAAGTTAAAAGTTTCAAGTTGAAATATAGTTACTTTTTACTAAAAAAACTATTAAAACACTTGCTATTAAGTTATTACAGTACATTACATTATGAAATTTCGAAATTATGAATTCCCATGTTTTGCAATTAACCCCACAAAACGGGCCTAATCGAGATTAATGAACTATTTTGAAAAGCGCTCACAAAAGCATCCGTCCGGGTGGTCATCTGAATCCGTTCGAACGTGTCGGTCAGCGTCTAAAAAAGTTTATAACCTGACGAACCACAAGTTTACCTCGACTAGCGCATGGTCGAAGCACAACGGCGCGAGGGTCTCCATCGTGTCGAGCACCGATTGAGTGCGGATATTCTGAAATTAGGACATTAGCGGAAGCGGCAGCGCATGACTTTGGTCTAGCAGCTGGCAAAAGCTGGGTCGCTAAATTTTAGCCGAAGAAGCAAAACAAAAACCAACGTTTGCCGCCACGAGGTACTGATCCAGCCGGTACGAATTGGCCACGATAAGCTGGGCAACGATGGCGGCCAGCGTGTGATGTCCGCTTGACGTCAAACACACGCGAATCCGGTACCACATCTGTAAATCGGGGCATAATAATGGTGCCACGACTTTTGTGGCTCTTCCGAATTTTGGGGCCGAAACGAATTTTTCCTGCAATTCCAAGAAATGCCTAGCAACTTTGCAGTAATTAGTCAAATAGCGCGATTTCAAGTGGAAAAACAATTCAAAAATTTAGAAAAATTATTAGTGCAATTTATGGTCGAAAAGCCGATTTTTGTAGTTTCTAATCGAAAGTTACAACGTTTTCACGTTTCGAAATCGCAAAAAAATTAGAAACACGCCAGAGAAATGTCGTAAACTCTATAATCTCACCAAATCGTCGAGCAAAACGTCAGGGAATGGCGGGAGAAGCTCATTCTCCATGCACGCGCATACAGTCTCCATATAGTAACCGAGAGCATTTGTTGTCGCTCCCTTGGCTGAAAATACGTGATAAACACGCGTCCAGAAAATGACGTACTGTAATAGTAGTCGGCCAGCGACCGGAGCCAAAAGGCGTGCATTGGGTTGAGGCGGAGCCCGGCCGAGAGAGCGGTGAATAAAGCCTCATCAAGGTATTCGACGTTGGTCGCTGGTAATCTAACAGCTCAAATTTGCTTCGTTGAAACGCTAAGACTTACTCGACGTCAATCCTCCACAAGTCTTTGCTCTGGAATTCGAGCGCAAGCTGGGGCTTCTTGGCCGTGAGGAGGTACCGATTGTACAGGTGACATAAGAAGGAAATTAGCAGGGAGAGGTGCTCCTGGTCCTAAATTCAAAAGGTCAGAAATTCGCTGAGATCGTTACCCGTAGCAGCTTGATGAAAGAGAGCAGATTCATGCGATCGTTCTCGAACTGACGGCTGTTTCTGAAAACAAAGACCCGAGTTGGAGCGGTTCTTTAGCAATATCGCGGGGGGGGGGTAACTTTTTCTTAGGATTCAATTTTGCTAGTATAAATGTTTTTACTATTCTCAAACGTCAAACTTTTCATTGTGTTCAAAATTACACAAAAATATAGATTTTTCGACCGACATCGTGGTGTCGACTATTTTCGATAAAAATTCCGACTTCAAAACTGTTCGATCTTGTTGGTTCTTTCCACCTCAAAAATAGTTAATTTTAAGGAAAACACTATAAAATACCTACCATTTCGCCACATTTCTGGATTGATAGGAAAAAAGTTGGTTTCCCCCGATATTGCGAAAGCACCGTTAAAGTTTTTAGTGGCTTTCTTAGACTTAAAGCCACTCACGATGAGGCAGAGAAGAAGCCGTTCGACTCAAAATACGTCGCAAAATTGCCGGTGAACTGGATTTTTGCCTCCTTGGCATGGCCTTGCACCTAAAAATTGACATTTCATCTTCCTTGGACTATAATGGCTACCTGTTTCCAGGCGGTGAGCAATTGGGCCAATAGAAAGTACGGCGGTTTGACGGCTGGAGTTCTGAAAAAAATACATTAAATCTTTCCCAAATCTTGACAGGTGGCAGAAGAAAACTGACAATTCGGATAGAACGAAGTCGTCTTGCGCAACGTTGATCAGAAAGGCGACCGCCTAAAATTTTGTTTCGACTCTGGCTTGAAGCGGAATCACTCACCGAAATCATAAACTGGCCGTTGGGTGGCAATGACGACTTGCGGAGCAGCTGTTTAATCAGATTCACGTGGTGGTTGACGGTAACTTCTGGAAAGCGGAGATAAGAAAATGATGGAGGCAAAAACCCTACCGTCGACGGCACAATGCGACGTTTGTAGCTGATAGTTAAGGCACCGAGTCTGCGCGAGAACAGCCTAAAAGTTGTTTATAGATAAAATTAACCATCAAGCCCAGAACCTCTTGAATGGTGGCATCATTGCGTTGTTGCAATACAGGCGTGTTGGTCACGACGAGGTTCAGAAATTCGCTCCACTTGCTCAGGTTCTAAAGCCAAGTGAAGCCAAGTTGGGAAGAATACCTTGATGCTCGCCAGCTGCTCCAATTTTGCTAGCAGCACAGCGTTCAACCGGTTCTGTTTGCCCTGCATCAGCACCTCGGTCAAGATTTCGGGGTATTTGAACTAAAATGCGATGAAGCAAAACTTCTGGATCTACCAGATATGGAAGGTGGAAAGCCTCCAGTTGGCTGATCGCGCGGCACAATTCGGCAACGTCGAAAGAGGTCAGCATCGTCCAGAACGGGTCGCCAGGGACTGTGTATAAAGCTGGAAAAGAAGAATAGATTATATTCATCGATAAGTCATACCCGATCCGTCAACGGCCGAAGCAGGAATTTCGGGCGACGAAGAAGGATGAATTGCTTGTCTTACAGCAAATTCAACAGGTAGAGCTTTCTAAAGCGGAAACGTTGAAAAGTAAGTAATCATAAATATACCTTTACAAGGACCCTCTCGATATCCTGGAAGTTTGGCACCGTTGCCGAGATCAAATAAAGCAGGGCTCTCACGCTGGTTCGGGCGATCGGGTCACGTATCCGCTCTATTAGCCGAGCGATTGCCTAAAATCATTCGAATAACTTTCAAAAGGCAAAAACGATCGTGGGAACAGGTTTAAAAACCCACTTGGACAAAACGAATCTTCGAAGCTTGAATAAGTCCGTGGAAAGCCGTCGGCGCGAAAAAGTGGATTCCGTCCATTGCGTCCCTTGCAAAGTTTTCCGCCTGAAACGTTTGTGAGAGCGAAAAAACAGCTAAACCTTTGTCATTGGAGATAGCGCACCGCGGGACTGTTGCAGAAATAGGGAGCGGTTAATCCAAAATTTCCGCTGCGGTGTGTGATCCTCCATAAGCATCTGAAAGAGTACATCAACTTGGGCTACACCACCATACCGCTTCGTGAATTGCCGGCCTCGTGTGCTGGGGGCGACCGGGAAGCGGTGGACGTTGCACCGCAATCAAATACCTAAAACGTATTTTCCAAGTATGAAACCAAGCCATACCCGTTCAACTCGTCGCGATCGATGACGCAAAGCCGGAATGTTTCGCCATTTGCGGGCAAAAGCGGGGTCAACTAACGAAATCAAAAGAAAGTCAGCTAAATCCTATTAACTCACGTCATCCAGGTACTTTCTTACAACAGCAAAATTCAAAAGTTGAAAGTGGTAACAGGCCAGCTCGTAGCGCAACTAAAATAAGGGTTTTTGCAAAAAAAAACTATCAAAAATCCAGCCCTAAGAAGACGTACAATATTATGCAGTTCTTCCTGGGGTATCGAACGGCTTGGCAACTGAAAATCGGCAACCGGTAAATTCTGGACCGTCAAATCGGGACCGAGCAGCGCCACGGCCAGATATCTTTCGCGGGACTGGAAAGGAAGTGTTTGAAATAAGATTCTGGCGTTACCTGCAAAAATGGAATTAGGAACATTTCGACAGTGGGGGCCTCAATTTTTCGTCCTTCGAGGAGCATCGTCTCCAGCTCAGCGGCAGCCTCACCACATCTTGCTCTCGACTAAATCAATCGGTTTTGCTCATTAAACAAAGTCGATCCCACCTGATTAATCGCCTCGCGATTATTATTCGCCAACAGAATTCCCTTGTCCTCTTGCGTATTCCTAAAGATAGAAACCTCAACCTTAGAAATCAGCGCTTACGGGTTGTTCGTCTGTGGTCGACCGGCCGGGACGGGGATCCGAAACTTGTTGCTAACGTATAATCGGAATTTTGAGCTCAGAAGCGCGATGAAATGTTTGAACACCTACAAAAAAATAAAGACCACAATAATCAGGCACCTCGTGCTCCATCAAATACGACCGCGCGTTCTCCATCAAATAATGGACGAGGTGAATGTTGCTTCTAAAACATTATTATTTTGGTCAAACCTAAAGTACTTACTTTTGCTCCTGAATCATTTCGTCAAAAGCCCAGTCCACGGCCGCAAAGCAAGCCATCGTGCACAACCAGGTCAATTCTCGCTTTCGCCGCACGTAGAGGAGATCGGTCTCGGCTGAAGTATCAAAAAAGCCTTGTAGTAAGAATGAAAATTCACTTTCGAGTCGTTCCGAAGCGACGGACAATATTTGGCTCCTTTTCGCCAAATTGTGGATGTCCTTGTCTAGTGCGATCATTTGCTCCACGTACTGTAGCGTGAGGGACAGGATTTCATCTAAACGAGAGCTGCGAAAGTGGACTCTTCGTACCACGATGAAGCGCGGCATGGGTGAGCAACAACTTCAGATCGTTAGCCTTGAGGAAGTAATCAACCCATGACGTCGATGGTTTATCCCAAGCCTTAAACGGATTTGTAGAGCCAATAATTCGATTAACGTTCGAATAAGCGTTCAGCTTCGACTTGAAGCCATAAACTCAGCTGCAAAGCACTACCTCGCATAGCTCAGCGAGCGGCAGCGGCATTGGTGGTTTGCCCATGAGGGACATCACAGCGATTTGACGATGTCCTCTGATTCAGAGGCTCTCACCCGGCAAAAATCACTCAAGTTTGTGGTTCCTTAAAATTTCAATCTGATCGCGCGCTGTAAAGCTCGATGTGATAGCCCTGCAGGAGAAAAGTGACCCAGCTGAAATGAGTTCCACCTCGTAAGCACAGTTATTCTTTATTCGTCAGGCACAAGGAAGACTAGCAATGGAAGTAAAGGCCGTGTGGATGGAAGAAAATGCGAGTCGGAACTTCGATAAATCTCGAGGGCGGAAAGAATTCACGATTTTTCGAAAATAAAGCAGCGGATTGGGTGGAATGAAAGAGCTGAAGTTCGCTTGGAGAGATGACAGCAAGGACAGATGATAGCACAACACAGAAGAGATCATGTAATAACTAGCGAGCGCTACGGAGGATGACACGGAGGAGTTCAAGCGAGTTAACATTCGTCGACGCAGCGCTGTTCGGCCGCATAGGAGCCGCTTTGGGCCTCGTGAATCTGCTTCATCAGCTTGACGACGTTCATCGTTGGGACTGCAAGAAAAAGTGAAATCGATAGATGGGACACCTACAATATCCAAGTCCCTGTAAGAACAGCATCAGGGCTTCGGTGACGGCTTCCGGTCGATCGTCCAGCACTAGCCCGCAAGAGCCAGAGACCTAAAAAGAAAGGTTTAATATTTGTGCCTGCCAATACGTCAAAAAATTATTTATAGAACAATTTATACCTTAATCCAGTCACTCTTGGACGGATCCAAACGGGTATTCACCTCAACCGTCTCGTTGACAAATGCCGAGCCTAAAATTAGCTAGTATGCAAAAATGACAAAACGCCTACCAGCTCCGACGAGCTGCAAGACAGGGACCCTCAACTGCGGCCCGGCAGCGCCTCCTTCACGCGAGAAGTTGATAGGAGTCCGGCTGAAAAAAATTCATAAAACGGCCACAAAAATTTAACTGACTTTATATAGGCATCAATTAGCATAGACAGGTTTGTGGGATTCGGCAGGTGCTGGAAATAGACCCGGTACTGCCTGAAAAAAGGCTGTATATACGTCAAAAGCCAATAATTAAACCTGACGATGTCGGAAGAGCACTCGTCGATGCGACGCCCAAAATGATGCCACATCAAATAGTCGGCCACAAATGAGGTCATCCCGTAATTCTTCAAGTGACGCTGGTTCACCTTAATTTTGAAATATTACGTAAAATTTCTGAGAAGCCCGTACCTTTTCGTAACCCCACTCGACCCAGCCGCAGGTGCTGTGGACACAATTAACCAGGATGAGCGCGTTGACACGGTCTTGGTTCATCAACTAAAAAAAGGAACATGAATAATTTTTAAGCTGGTTACCGTGTAGCGCAGCAGCACATTGGCACCGAGCCCGACGCCAAACGCGAAAAAGTGCGGCAATCTATAAGATCCTCTTAAAAACGGAACCGAAAAATTTACTTGAAATGCTCCACAACATTTTCGACAATGTTCGCGAGACCCTCCATCGTCGGGTATTGGAAGCTGAAAACAAAGATAAATCGCAAAAACGCAATTACTTCTCAGGCAGTGGCTTCGCATCCATCTCCTGGCCAGGAGCGTTGATGTTGTAGATGCAGAACTTGTCCGTGAACTCGGCGATCGACACGAATTGGAAGAAATTTTGGAAGTTGCTCTCCGCTAAAAAAACTTCTGAATTGAATGGTCGCACGTAACCTACAATCAAGCCCAAGATCATGGAAAGTGACGAGAGGTAGGCGTGCACGATCGCCATATATTGTCACTTTGACCTTCCCAAAGGCAGTGCTGACACTTTCCTAAACACCAGATATCAGAATAGACGCGCAACAATAAACCTCTTGAAAATCTCCTCCTGACCCGTCATCACATAATGGCTGCACGTCTCTTGGGAACGGGTAGGTATCCAATTCGATGCCAGACATACCTGGAATGTTGATTTATTAGAGACCTTAAAGAAATGAGCACGAGTGAGGACACAAGGAAATACTGGCAACACATAATACAAGATGCGGGATCCGCTCAAAGATAAATTATATAGGATCCAGTCGAAACAACAAAGAAATAAGGGGTTCAACCAAAATACAGTGAAATGAAGATCATAGCAGTGAAAGAGAGCGTAGCGCCACAGAATACAATTGAAAATATTGGATGATAGCTATTCAAGGGCAAATGAGCCGATCGCCTCGGCCACCCGATCGGGGAGATCCATAATCTCGTCTCCGTTCTCGTCGTAGTGGCTGATATGTGTCAACTGTTGCAGCCCCGGGTGCAAGCCGACGACCTGAAAAATTGAATTAAACGACAATGCCCACAACGCCTACATTTACGCCGTCGTCTCGCACGTCGACAAGACAGCCGTGTTCCCGGGCGCTCAGCTGCTTCTCCATTGCAGCAATCTGCTTTACAGCCATTTCTGAGGTCGATTCAACGAGGCTAAACGGCTTCGTTCAGAACTGATAAGGGTCATACTATTCGCAATCATCAGAAATTCCCCTGCGCAAAGAGTCGTCGGCGCTCTTTTCAGCTTCACGTTTCCCAAGCACCTGTTCCAGCATCTCTTTGGCCTCGATTTCGTCAGTAGTTAGCTGAAAAAAATGCGGATATGACAACTTTACATGTGCTCTCTTTAGGCGACCGTCGACAAAACCAACTTTTCTGAGTGCCGCTTCGCGTGCGTTCTGATCATCTTCTAGTTGTTGGCACAACGAGCCCTGCACGTTGATTTTCTCTTGGAGATCGCGGAAGACTTTGGCTTGCGAAAACCGGGCTTTTCTGGAAATACACAATTAGTACCGTGATGGTATTGCTAGATCAATAAGTTGCAAATTCACCGCTTACCGGAGGTTAGGGATGATGCTGGTCCTGATATGACGCACTTGCTGCGACACATCGTCCTGGAGCTTCTTATTCTCACCGATATTCCGAAGTATGTCATTCAGTACAAGGCGCGCCTGGGCAATGTCTTGTCGTGGCATCTGAAAAAATAAAATAAAGATACGTGCTTGTGGGTTGCTATTGATCAAAATGAAAGGACGGATTAAAAGCAGATCAATCTTTTAGACATTTCTCGAAATTTGACCGCTCAAGTCCCAGCTGACTGCTCCATGCATAGATCCTAGGGGTTTTACGGCCGTGCTAATCCCCTCCCTCCGGTGACACGGGCGCGGTTTAGCAGCGGCTTGCTAGAGCAGTCGGTCAAGCACCCACCTCCCAGGTAGAGCAAAAGAGGCACAGATACACGAGAGTTCAATACTTTCAGATACTATTGGTCAAGTAATGCATAGACGAGTCTTTATTACCGCATGAGATCGAATACCAGTATTTAGAAATTGAGCGGGAAATTCGTGGCCCAGTGATTATTTTTGCTGGATGTAGTGTTTGTTCTGGAGTAAATTGTCTGTTTGCTTCCAGGGCCGCCAGCAAGGGTTGTCGTAGATTCGTGATCTAATAAAGAATAAAGTAAACGATTAAGCGAGCTACCTCCAACTGTTGAGTGTTGTCCATATGGGCGTAAGTGTGACTCGTCTAAAATCTGATTCGTACTTCAAATAACGAACTTCACCTGTTTCAGATATCTCAAAGTCGTCGTTCGTAGTTTTGCTTCCCGTTTGTCCCAAATATCTTGTACGAGCGTTTTCGCCTAAACTTCATCAGAAGGAAATCGAACACGCGTACCTGATCACCATCTTGAAAATCTTCTTTGCATTCGCGCACCAATATGTGAGCAATTTCGAAAAAATGTTGTGAAGGAAGCTGTAAAGAACGGTTAGGCAATGCGGTGGACACGCACCTGCAGTAGGGAATCAACAGCTTCGGTTTCGGCCAGCAATATTTCCTTCAACTTTTCTACAGAAAGCCAGTCGGGAATCTAAACGAATCTAAGAAAAAACAAAAAATCTTTACCTTTACAACACACTTCATACGCTTTCGCAGATCTGTAGCAACCCATAGTGGAACTTCTGACGGTAGCCCAGCTTCAAAAGGGCCAGCATCGCCTCCGATAAATTGTATAGCGCCGCTCGTGAAGTTTGGAACGACCTCCACCAGCTCTTCACCAGCCAAAATTCACAAGCCTCGATATCCATCGCCTTCCTAAACTCGATATCTACTTCTGCTGCCAGCATATCCGAAAGTAATGTTGAAGTCTAATCGTTCGCGCATTCGGTCTGGCCTTTTTCTTGGGAATCTTTATCAGTTAAAGTTGCAGAAAATATATTAAACCGGGCACGAATTAAGAAAGATGAAAATCACAAATGAACGATAAAACACATTTGCACGATGGCAAAGGGGGCGCCTAGTGGCTGACATCCATGCTCTCGACGATCTCGTACTTGATCTCCTTGCGCTTGAGGACCGCAGTCGAGCCAGCCTAAACCAAGGAGATTACGTCAACAAATATAAAAATACCTTGAATTTGTAGTCCAAATCGATGGGTTCGGGTTTTTTACAGAACTCTGGCACAATCGGTCCTTCGAAAATCGTCTTCTCCGGGCGGATGATGACCAGGTTTAGGCTGTTTCCTGACGCGTTGTCACCGTGCATACCGGCGTGGAGAGCACGTTGCACCAGATCCTATTGCAAGAAAGTTAAAAGTAACTCTGATTTGATCAAACCTTCGCTTCGGCTTCCGTCATCTTGGGCTTGAAGTCGCGTTCGAGAATCGAGATAGCGGCATAGCTACCGGATCCCTAAAAATTGGTAAAGCAAGTATGCCGCCGACAAACCTGGGCAGCGAATTCCTTGTGCATCGTGGTGCCGTTGGCGGTACATTCATAAAGATGAGGACCGGTCGGGTCAACGCCGCCAATCAACAGGTAGGCACCAATGTAACCCTACGATTTCATTAGGTCCAGGTATGCACAAGAGCGTACCTGATAGTTGAAAAGATGCTGCTTTGCTTGGCGCATAGCTGTTATCACGCGGGCCTTCTTGCCAGTGTTCAGCTCCATCAGGCGGAGGTTCGACGACAGCATTTTGTCACCTACAAAAAGAGATATCGTTTTCTTTGAATACAAAATCGGAGGCTGACTATCACAAAATCCTCCGGCTCCCGCGAGCAATTTCGCAAAAATTTACCTGATCCAAATCAGCAGCAGTTCCTGCTCCACAGGCGTAGATGCTCTCCGTGATCTTGTGCACCTTCTCGCAGTGCTTGTCGGCGATGATGTTTCCGGCCGTCGCTCGAGAATCGGCTCCCATCACCAGCCCACCGTCGTACGACGTGGCAACAATTGTCGTACCTAAAATGAATTCCGTAAATGTTTGTCAAGATTACCAGTCGAAGTAAGGCGAGGGGCAGCGGCGCCCATTCGGCACAGGGCCATGTTTCTGAAGCAGTTGTCGAAGCTGAAGGCGCCGCCTTTATCGAGCTCCATCTTCAGCACCGGCTTCTCGGCATTGATCGTCGCCATGATCCTGTAAAAAAGTTAATATAAATGGAATTTCCAAAAGGACGAGGATTCGACAGGGAAGACATGAATGTGGGGGTACAGGTAAAGGCAAAGACAGGAGCGCAAAAAAGGGTCCATGACAGATGAGCAAGCAAGCAAGCAAAACCACAAAAAAGAAAGGAGGGGAAACCAAAAATCAAAACTGAGCAACACCACTTTAGCGTGTTTACTAAGAAGTCATTGTTGCTCAAACGTCGTTGCTCATTTGGGATGGCCCCAGAAAAGCAGAAGACGACCGACTCGGGTTTGAGCGCGAAGTTTTTCTTATGAAAAGCATTTTGTTTCAGTGCTGATTTTCATCCATACCATCGCAGTCGTGATGATTTCAACGACGTAGTTGAATTGGGGGCAAGTTACTGTCCCAGGGCTCAAAATAGGCGCCGGAAAAAGGGAGAGGGGAGAGAAGGGCGCGAGTCAGCCGCCCGCATTCGTCTCATCGGCTGGTTGCGACGATTGGGGGGATACCGCGGGATCCCAGGATAACAACGTCTTGAAAAACAAAACCAAAACAGTGGAGAAGGCGAAAACGTTTGTATTCCAGATGCCAAAAGACGCGCTGAATTTGATTGACTCTGGGCTTTGAGGCCGACCGCTTCGAAGTCCTGAAAAAAGACAAATTTTATAACGTTCGGTTTATTTCCACTGCTGTACAGTGTACAGCCTTCCGTAATTGTTATTACAACGTAGGCGTCCGGCCGGATTTTGAGCACAGTGGATGCGTCTCGAGGTTGAAGCACGCTGAAGTGGCATGACCTTGGCGAGGGCAAGTCGGCCACCAAACTCTTGCACTAGCGGAAAGAATAGACGGGTAGTCTGGTAGATGAACCGTTTGAATATAATTGTTTGCGGAAGGCCGTTTGCGATTGTCGGGGGTTTTGTCGCTATTTCTGGTGGTTAGAAATACAATTCGAGCTGAGTTTGTCGAAAAACGTGGGCTGCTTGCGATTCTATTGAAAACCTGCCAACCGGCTTTATGGGCTCTATATAAAGGTTCCGATTCCTTCCAAAATGATGATAAGACATTGTATTGTGGTTTTCACAACCATGCGCGCGCGGTCGCGCGGCCTTGGAACCCCAAATCTAAAGCCAGAAACCTTTTGAAAAGCTGCTAATCGGCTTCATCAAGTTTTTAGGTCCAAAGAAATCACTCCCGGTACGTTCCACAGTGGTTTTTACAACCCTACGCGCATTGCTCTTCTGTTGCACGGCCGCGCGACGCCGTAAAGTCAATTCTAAGCCCCAAAACCGCACGGCTTCTCCCCCCACCTCGCCACCCCTGTAAAATCGTCAGAAATTTTTCAACCTCATCGTCCGTGCCCTGTGATCTCATCTTTTCTCTCGGCATGCCGAACAAAGGCGGTCGGTGACCCCCCTGTGGGCGCCCGGGCGAGTAGTCGGTATCTCTCTCTGTCTCTCGCTCCCTTTGCCTCTCTCCGTTTCTCCCGCGCGCCTGCTCTCTCGCCCAGTATTGATTAACGCTCGCTCTCCCTGCCGCTCTCGCCTCGTGTCCGCCAAAACGATTTTACACCCCTTCGTTGCGCCTGGAATTATTGGCTGTTTTGAATATTGATGAATTTATCGCGATTGGCGAGGGGTGTTCGGTTATTATTGTCTTTTTATGCGCTTTTTGTGGGTTTACAGCGCTAAACGTAAAAAAATCTGGTTTTAACGCGATTTTAGGCCGTTTTCGATTCTGAATTTGCTTAGAAAGAGTGTTAGTGCTATTTTTTAGCAATAATTACAGTAGGTCAGACTCAAGGGACCGCGCACCGGGGAGAGCAGATGGTCGCGGTGTCAGTGTTAGGGTATTGGATTGATAATCTATAGATAGTAGGTATGATATCTCTTTCTTTCCCGCTTTCTGATTGGCTTGATTCTGCAAATTTTGTCATTTTCAGCTCAGCACTACTGCCAAAATTGAAGCGATGACCAAGCCAGGAGCTGATGAGGCGCAGCCCCCGGAGCAGCCCATCGACTTGGACGGTAATAAAAACATTATATCCTTTAATTTTTGAATTTTGCAGACGCGGGTGAAGTCATTCGAACAAACGAGATTACTGCCACCGTCTTGATCGGCGACACGAGCGTACCTATCGAAATTCCCGTTTTTGATGACAGCAACGTATCGGACGGCGGAGTGGACAGCAGCATGGCAGATTCGTCGATGGACGATTTTGATGGAGAAAATAATGAGAGGTGAGGGGATTCCTATACCTTCTAATGAAGTTTTAGGCTGAAAGACCTCATCAACTCGTACTTCGCGCCGTCGGACCCGATGCGGAAGTTGTACTCGATTCCCTCTGTTGAAGGCGAAATCCCAGCCGATGTTTTGGAAGAAGCCGAGATCAAAAGAGCTAGACGCGCCGAGACGGCCAGACTGAGGTGAGTGTCTAACATCTTACAACATACGATGGGCTTTGTGCGTCGCATCCGATATGTACCTCGTGTCACATCAAATATTACCATTTTGTTAGGTATCACCGTTTGGCCCCCGAGAAAAAGAAAGCCGTCAACCGGAAACGCACCGAAACACTGAGGCAAAAGCGACAGATGGCACGCGAGCTGAACAGCATGGAGATGTCCGTCGACGGAATGTATATAAAAAATGAACCGGTAGAGGCAGAGGAAGTCCAGGACTTCTCGCCCGAGCCCCGCGCGTCCATGGCATCCTTGACGGACGAGCAGAAGCGCGCCAGATGGGCCGAGAATTCGCGGCTAAGGTGAAATAATTCAATCCTTTTTAAATTTTGTTTGCCAGGTATTACAAGATGACACCTGAGGAAAGGAGGGCGTACAACCAGCGCCGGGCTGGCCGACGGACTGGCAAGGGCGTGAAAAAGGAGAAGGTATGTTTAGAACTTTTTTTATTGGCAACAATAACTCGGCAATGAATATGTGTTGTTTAGGAGGCCAACGACCTGCTACTCGAGCTCATGGACGCAGAAGATGTGAAAAAGAACAAAGTGAAGGCCACGAATGCACAGAAGGCTGCGGCTGCGCGGGCTAGGTATCGCATCGTTTGCTAAATCTTAACAAGTGTTTTCTTAGATACCATCAAAAGTCTGCAGAGGAGAAGCGTTTGCTAAACCTGAAGCGCACCGAGGCCTTCCGGCGGAAGCGCATGGAGGAAGAGCTGACGCTCGCCCTACAAGGAAGCCCGGAAGCCATGAGCGAAGAGAAACGGGCTCGTATTAAGAAGATCAAAGAGGCCAAAGCTCGCCGATCGGAGCCTCTCGGAAGCGCTATCATAATATGTCTGTCGAGGAGCGGAGGGTGAGTAACATTTTCTGGAGTTTTGTATTTCTTTTTCAGGCTTATAACACGAAGCGCTACAACCGATTGCGAGCTGATCAGGCTGCCGACATGACCCTGTCATCGATAGATTTGGAATTCCTTCGAAATCATGCCGCTGAACAGGGATTGAGTGGAAGCTTACCTAGAGGTTGGTGCCCGTTTTGAGTTCAAACCTTTTGTTTTCAGGACAAGAAGCCGGCGAAGGCCAAGCCAAGCCCGAAGAAGCCGACCCCGAGCGCCTCCAGCTCGCGGGAAAACGAGGTAGTGATTTATATTTTGTAATTTTATGCGCAAATATAGGCTCACCTTCGCCGCAGTGCCCGTCTTCGGTGAGCTGCTTCTTCCGGCAAAGCGCTAAGACGACGTTTGATGTCGTTGAAAGCATCGACTGCTGGTATTCCCATTCCGTTCAAATTGTGATCTCGGTCTGTCTTGTCAGTGTCTTTATTTGACTGCGTAGTTTGATGAAATGTCTATTTGTTTGGAAATAAAATTAAAGTGCTCACATCGTAGTCCTTTCAGGTGCCTTTAGAATGAAAATATTGGATGAAGCTCGCGAGAAGCCTCGTTATGCACCGACCTATATCATTTGACAGCTGCTCATTTTTCAGGCGTGCCCTTTCGCAACGGCGCGCCTCCAAATCCCGGTCGGCCAATTCCCAAAAGAGCGCAAAATTCCATGCGACTCACTCAGTGGAAGGGGTGGGGGCTAGCAGCAGCATCCAGTCCTCCTCTGATTTCGCAACGCCCTCTCCTCGCTCGTTTCCACTGCTCGCCACGCCAACCCCACACTCTCCCGCGCCCCGGCCGCATCCCAGGCCTGGGTGTTGTTTTGAATTTCAAACGTGCGAGCGTTGGCAGTAGTTCCGCGCGTTTTTTGGGAGTTTTTTTTTGAAAAAAAAACGATGTTTTCATGGGAACGTTTGCTTCTTCAAAATCTGGAGTTTCGCGGGTACTGTATAACTTGTCGTGTCGGCTTCTCCACAAGCTCTTGGAGCTCTTATAAGGAGTCGATTTTTTTAGGTGATACCAGGGTTGAAAAGCCGCTTCGCGACTTCCCAACCCTGGCCCGCAGCTGTTCTACGCATAATTGCGCTGAATCAGATGACCAAAAAAAAAATAGGACTCATATAGGCGACTTCCTACTTCCGGTCAAGCAATTCTCGAAGGGACGAAAAAATTTAACACGAAAATGGCTGATTTTA